CTAAAAAATTAGATTAAATTTTTTTAATAAGTTAAGTGAATTATTAAGAGATGGGGATCAGTCGAAATGTTTATGAAAAGGGTTTATTTCTTAATTATATGAGGAAGGTTGCCACCTGTTAAGCAAATCAAATTCTATTTGAATTAAAGGAATTAGGTAATTGATATAGATAGGTGTCACCGTATGGGAGTCAGACGAAAGAGGCTTAAGAAGATTTTAGCTTTAAAATATTACGAACAGGGTTACCACCTGTTTGTAAAGTCAAAGTTAGTTAAACTAAAATAATAATTGTGTGAAACCAAAGGTTTGCGACATCGTGTTTGTTACTTTCTTACAACTACGTACATTGTCAATCAGTCATTTGTTCTGATTACACTCCTTTTAAATTACTGGACTATTAAATTAACTCGGAAATGTTTTTACTCTTCACTTATTTCTTCCAAAATATGTCCAATTTCTTCTTTTGTCTGATACCCGTATTGATATATATATATTTCAATTATCTTATTACCTTAATTATAGTGAATTTGATTTTTTTAACAACCCTTCCAAATGTCGTTTAGAAGTAAAGCATTCTCAACAACATTTCAATTGATACCCATATTGTAATATTTTATTCATAAACTTATTAAATAATTTTAATCAAATGTGTAACCCGTTTAAAAAAAATAAAACTTTATTGTACATATATTGCTAAGCACTGTCATTTGACACCTCACTTTTGAAAATAGAACGAAGACCTATTTAAATGCCACAAGAACCCAAGTTTTCAACTTAAAACTGCATTTAAAGTGAAAGTGTGAAAGTTATCCAAAAACAAATTGCATTTTTGAATTTACCGTTCTCAATTTTACGAAGAAGCGATTTTCATTTAAATCCGCCCATAATTCTATTTTTCCCCCACATTTTATATGAAAAGATGAAACATTGCGCCGCATGCCAAAATCCAGTCGAACATCTCGAACACTGAGGTATCAGTTTGCGTTCAAATAGACGGACAGCCCAAAACAACAGCCTAAGACGGCTAAATCGACTCAGTTCGTTGTTCAAATAATTTATGTTAACTTTTTTTTTGCGTCTATCTCTTCTTTTTGAAAAGTTCCTATAAAAAAGCATAGTGCATAGGGCGACATCTGTAGTGAATAGGGCGAGGTAGATGACATCTAGATGTCGCCCTATGTACTACGTTCGCTACAGCGGAAATAGACGACACGCCATTTCTTTAAATAAAATTAGTTGGTGCTCGTTTGTATGTACATACATATGTAAATGCATGTGTGTGCACCTTTCTATTAATATCGTTGAATTATTTTAATATCTATCGCAAAATTTTATACAGACAAGACAAAAAAGTAGAAAATAAATAATATAAAAAATAAACTTTTTAATATAC